TTAACAAAAACATGTGTGCAGTTGCAAAAATCCTCGTCTTCAACTCGAATTTTTGTTGCCACTAGCACTCGTGCTTCTTGAAGAATATTACTTAGCAACGATGGACTCATGATAATCCCCCATAGTTCTCTGGCCAATCTAAACCACATGTGTGTTGAAAAAAATCTTCATTTAGTCTAGTCCGAAATAATTGTAAGGTCTGGTTTTATTGGTGCAAGTTGTTCAAGGGGGTATTTAAAACATGGACGCATAAAATGGGTACACCAATTTTTGTCGGAAAACTTTTTATTTGACAACAAAGAATGAGAAAACGTGTTTTTTGGGATTCAATCGAAAGTGTTGACAGGAAAGAAAAAACTTTTTATATAAGATTCTTACGTATTTATGAGATCTACAAAATGAAACCACACGTAAAAAGATCCGCCTAATAGGAAAAATGTTATGACCGAAAAACGAGGCAAAATGCAGGTTTTGGCACTTGGTAATGCGACGATAATGTCACGAAACTAATTGAAATTCTTCAAATCCGTAGGATTCATACTTCTAAATAACAACAACAAATTAGATTATATGGGTCTGGTAGTTTTTTGAGAATTTGTAGTTGTTTATCTCAAAACACCTGTTCTCCGGTCATCATTACTAGTTTATTGAGCAATATACATCATGTGGTTTTCATATCGACTATTTCCCTCATCTTCATTTCTACCAGTTACAAACGTGCAACTTTGGATTACAAATGGTTTCTAGATGGAAAAATTAGTAACACAGCACCTGTCAGCAGTTTTTTCGAGCTTGCTCGTAGCAAAACATGACAGCTGTTGTCACCAAAAATTACAATACCTTTGATATTCATGGTGCGCAACTGGTTCCTACTTTAAAAACGCCCCCCGTAATTCACTGACTTCTTTCTGATAAAGGTTTTAGAAAAATAAAATTTGGTGAAAGCTTACTTCTGTGGCGCCACTGCTTTTTGCAATAGGTTTCAAAAGTTATACGGGGTGTTCGAAAAATAGACGGAGATATTTTAGAGGGTGTTTCCTTGTTAAAATTATTTATAAAAATTAATAAACCAATTCTGTCCAGTGACACGCAATGAAACAGTTTATATTTTTTTTTCTCGATAACGAAGTGAGTTACGAAAAAAATACAAGAGACAAGGAAGTTGTATTTTTAGATGCTTAATCAAGCAACAAATATTACAGTCACAAAAAAGGCAGTGGCGTACATTTGTTTGCCAATAACATTCGCTAAGGTGGCCCCGGAACGCCACTTAACCTAATAATTTTCATCTATTTAGGGCTAAATGAGCCTCTTAATACATAAAATAATACTGTCAAATTTCAATAGAATCAAGTAAATGCTTTTTGAGGTATTAATAATTATTTTTTTTCATATTTAACAAGGAATCACCCTCTGAAATATCTCTATTTTTTGAATAGCCTGTATTTCCTGATAAGCGGGTAAGACGTCAGTGAAACCTGAAGAATAATTAAGTTCAAGATTATGTAAAAAATACCTCTTTATCATTTCAATTGATGTTCGTTCTGCATGTATCAGCCTGCAATCATCTTCAAGGGCGTGAAGAAATATTGCTTTTGGCGTCATTATGTTAGTTTCCCAAATTAATTTCTTCAAACGTATGGAAATCGTGAACGTTTTTAGAAGCTTTTGCTTGGAACCAGGTTGCAAATATTTCGAAAAACTTCATCAATATATTGACAGTAGACCGTACTACTATTATCCACAGATTTATCTGCAAAGAGAGTTCACATAAGTACATTTAAATAACATCTCTGCTTATTTTGAAACATCAAGAAGGTTGAATCTGTATTTCATGGAAAATAGCATAAATTTAAGTACAGTTTTGAGTGGAAATCATTTGGCCTTCTTAGGGTAAGTTTCGAAAATATATCTCTTGGGAACGTTTCCAAGATCCTCAACAGTTTTATATATGTTTCAGGGGTTCGCGAAGTTCAAAACCAACCTTCTTGATGCCGTACTCTCCAATGCTTACCCTGTAAAAATGTTGATGTCCGTTTGATTGCTGTCTTCATATATTGATGTATCAATCGGTGGACTTTCATCATTCTTAACATGCTTTCATTGTTCCTCTTCACTCTACTCTTGTGTGCCCATGAAACATTCATCCAGCTATCCAGGCAGAACATTTTTTGGGACAGCTGCCATTATCCTCAATATTCATTATATCACGTTTGTCACGCTCGGGAGTGTCTATAACTTGAACCATTCCTGAAATTTGGAGTGACCCCCTCCAAAGCTGTATAAAAATATTTGTGCTATTATTTTGAAAGAGAACCTGAAAGTTTTATTACAGCAATTCTGTAAAATACGTAAAAATAAGAAATGTGCAATCACATCTTAGCTAAAAATAGATATGCTCGTAAAATATGCACCTAAAAAAAGTAAATACCAAATTTGAGTTAAAATTGAAATTATAATGACTACATCATTATCATCAATATTTATCATAGTTCATCACACTTCCTCAAATACGGAATATTCTCACTCTCTCCTAAAAGATGAAACAAACTTGCGCTACAATTTTAAAGCATAAATAATCATAGACAACATACCTATGAAATACCTAATAATAAGAACCATTTTACTTGTAAATATGTTTTTTTCAATAAATAAACGTGTTTTATCCAGCTGTTGATAGCAAAATAGAAATAGTGAATACCAAATATTCGTAAGTATTACCAGAACTACTACTACCGCTACTACTACTACTACTACTACTACTACTACTACTACTACTACTACTACTACTACTACTACCTTCTTATCTAGTTACTTATCATCTACGGACACACTTATGAAACCTGAACTTTTCACATATCTCATCCCTCAGAAACACTGGACGATTTTACGTCAGCCATGTGTTTTCCAAGTATCTCCGAAAATGATTAACCACTTGTCTCGCGTAACATTTCTTCACAAAAAAGTAATAATTGTTTTTAATACAGTAGCTGGAGTGTATCGTGATCTTGTGACCATACTTGCGTGTACTCACATTAACACCATATTAATACCTAGCGATGATCTTTTAAATCCTGGATCCCTGTTTAACAGCTCGGCCATGGACCCAGAGGAATTCCTTCCTTCACTTTTTTCTCTTCTTGACGGACTTTTGCACTGTGCAATCGTTGAAGTTTATCACAGCTTTGCTAGTTGAAGGCAATAACCAAGCCCAACGGTATTTAAGATAAATGTACGAGAAAACCTAAAACATAAAAGTCCTGTATAAAATATAAAAACATATTTACCGCTGATGATTAGCAAGGGCATGATGGAGAGTTGACTGTGTCCCTCGTTGTGGCACCACATCGCAGAATGCACACTCAAAAAGGGGCACCATATCTGGTCGACGAAAATCCTAAATACACTTTCATATCTGCAAACTGCTATAGTCTCTGTAAAAAGTATAAACAGCAATACTAGGTTATTACAACTCCCACTATCACAGTTTGGACAGAAAAAGCGTTTCCGCATGCGAACAGCTATAAAGCTTTCTTCTATCTAAAAAAAAGTTACGCTGGTATTATTTTCATCGTTTAATTGCTTCCATTGTATTGTACTCATGTTCTCGAATATCTGGTTAAACAAATGAATATACATAAAATAGTTCGCTTTAATATATTGACTCCTGTTATAAAACCTGGTTCGTGCTCGCCTGGAAAATATCGCTTGCACGTCTCGCAGTAAGAAAATTTTTGTTTGATAAATTGACAAAATATATTGCACAGAAGTCCTATTGATGAAAACACATTTACCTCGAATGTGCCCCTGCATAAATGAGCAAGGGCATGTTGTCTGTATCCCTCGCTGTGCCCCCACATCGCAGGGTGCCCAAACAAAACTCCCTAACATTTCCGTATCTACTCGTTACTACCGACCACTTATTTGGAGTTTCTGAAGCGTACGTTTTATATGATTCTTCCGATTCTCCCTACTTTCAAAGTTTCCAACCGTGTGATAGCATTTTGTTATTATTTTTCCTGACCTTTCTACTGAACTGACGGCTTTTCTTAGTGATTCCTAACTATCTAAATGCAGCACCCCGCCTGGGCGAGGGCAATATTAAGAGTCGTCAACCAGTAGGTTTAACAATCTCGCAGTTCTCTTTCGTAGTCGCCTGTAAGCCGGACACCAATAAGAAAACCCTAAATGCACTTACATTTCAGCAAACTGCCCTAGTCCCTGGAACAAGTAGAAACAAAATGAGTATACAAGTACTACGTTATTAAACCTGTCATTCTGACACTTTGGGCAGGAAATTCAAGTGGTACAATTAATCTATCGATCGTTTTCGCATGCTATAAAACCTTATAGCCATAACGGGCGAAAAAGAAGCAAAAAGTAGGGATTTTTTTGAAAAACTTAAAAGTGGAAATATCTGGAAAACTAGAAAGCTTTCACTAAGGTCATGTTAATTTTATCTGATTGATCTACCCCACGTGTCACTCTGGCGTGGTATTTCTGGCACATCATGTATAAATAAAATTGTTCGGTATAATATATTAGCCCATTTTATTAAAACTGGTTCGCACGCACATGGAAAATACCCCTTGCATGCCCGTGGAGGTCGTGGTTACCAACGATGAGCCACGCCCAATAAATTATCAAAATATGAAAATGAATAATTGTCGTCAGACAACAAATAATCACTTTATTTTCCTGTATTTGTATCCTTGCCCTTATGGAGCATTTTGGCAAAAGAAAAACGAACATTTCCGAAACCACTATTTAGCGACAATCTTACAGAAAGCTATATTTTTATTGTTTAACAGTATAAATTATAAAGACAGGTAGTTCCATAAGAAAAAAAACTTATGGGTTTTTGTAGCTTAGTTTTTATTACATACTCTTTTTTACTACTGTTTATTAATTATCCTAATATTGCATAAGGTCTACTAAAGCAGATCTTGCGTGAGATCACCCTTACAATCGTGTGACAACACAAATATAGGCTGTTCCAGAAATAACACATCAGAGTGACATGGAAGATAGATTGGCTTCAGATAAATCAGGTAAAATCAACATGACCTTAGTGAATGTTTTCTAGTGTTCGAAATATTGACACTTTGTTTTTTCATGACTATCTGTTGCTCCCTTTTTGCCTGTTATTGCTATAAAGAACTTCTAATATATAATTCATTCCTGAGCTACCATTAATAGTAGGTTGAGATAGCCGAGTATTCATTTCATTGAAAACTAGCACGGTATGCTAAAAAAATGAATTGTTACATTTTGTTTCAATGTGTAATGCTCTTTTAAAAATAGTATAACATTTGTAGGTTCTTTCTAGTAACAATTGAATAACCCCAAGTTTTATCACTGAAGTCGTAATACTTGTGAAATACTGCAAATAAAAGATAAGTGCAGCCGTCTTTTGTAACCGAATCACTAGGGAATGAAACGACCTAAACATGTCATTGACTATCTCGCTCTCACATCCATTGTTAGGTGGAAGCATTATGTCACCACAAGAAACAGAGGGGGTACCTGCGCACCGCATGCGCAGGATTAATTTAGTACTGCTCCTTGTGCTTAGTGCTACACACGGCGTGTAATAAGACTTGAAAGTGGCAATTTCTCCAAAAATAGAAAACGTTGAAGCCAATCTAGCTCCCATGTCACTCTGACGTGTTATTTCTGGGACACCCTGTATAATACGATTGAAGTATTTGTCGGCCTACACTTGCGACACGTTACGTTTTCAAAATTCTTATTCACCCTGTACTTTCGAAACGATTTAAGGGCAAAGAATTAGTTCTTGATTTTTTCATGAACATACTTTAAAAGCAAAAGTTCCACTCAGAGAATTAAAGAGTGATGTATAATATTGCCAGAATATTTGAAAATAAAGATCTGGGATTTTGGGCTTGCTGCCAATAATAAACAAAGTCCTATAGGACTTTGGCAAAGAACTCCCTTTCTTTAGTTCGCACTTTTGCTGCTAAGTAGTAGATGCAAGCCCAGATACAACATGAATATAGTGCAATGGATAGCAAATCTTCAAAATTCATCCTCTTAAAAATATTGATTGTATGGAGGTATTTATTTCTTACAAAAAATTGTAAACAACTTTATATACAAGAGATAGAATATGAACACGTAATACAATCGGTATTTACGTGCATTAATCTCACTTTTTTGTAAGTTTTTGTACATGATAGTGTGCTACTTATTATGTATTTACATTTACTATAGACGAGGCGAAAAAATTCGTGGGATAAATTTTCCATGTCGATTTTTGAACGAATCATGAGGTTGCCCGGAGGTAACTCGCTGCAAAGTGTAAATAATTACAAACTACAAAAAACATCTTTTTGGCCCGTAAAAATTGTTTTTAGATTCTTTGGATCATTGTGAATAAAAATAGTTTCACTCTAAAAGGGTCGTTTTCGAGTTATAAGCGATTGAATATCTGAAAAACCCTAAAAATGTTCTCTCATGTTACTCAATTAAACTTCAAACCTTATCCTACTTGGCGTATTTTTGAAATGCTGCTATTTCACTGTTAATAATAATAACGCGCATTGGAATACGCACCTCGCGTTGCTAACAATTAAGTAATCATACTTTAAGATATACTAATCTTAAAATACTCCTCGGAGTTTTGAACGAAAATGTGCGAAATTTAACTTAGACGCATGGCAACTCGACGATGATTTTAACCCGCGTTTTAAAGCATTGAAGATCGATATTTTTGAGGTTTATCGGAACTTTAATCGTTTCTAACATGAAAACGTTTAACTTAAGAGAAAAATCGCTAATGAATTTTGACCACAACAAAATAAGTCAACCTTGACATTACGAGCTCAAAGTTAACACAGAAATAGCTGACTATGCTTAACTCACCTAGTCTGCTCTAAAGACATTTAGCTCAGGAAGGTCAGAAAAGTGCTCAATATCCAACGTGAAAATACTCCACTCGCCTTTTATGAACAACCACAACACATTTTCATACACAATTACCACAAAATCACTCACACCACCATCGGAACACGACGACACTGCGGTAAATCGCGAACAAAGACTTCCCGGCACACGACGAGTGGAACAGAAGCAGAGCGTTGCATGGAGGGGTCGGCGCACCACGCTCCCCAAACGCCCACCGACAACTGAACAGACGCACGTTAGCCCGCAGCGTGTAGTACGCCGGTACCGCTATTCCTTCTGCGTCGTCATTGGTTGAACTTTAGTCAGGCGTTCCACCACCCAATCTGTTTTGGGCATTTACTTAAACATTAGAACATCTGAAAAAACGTATCACAAGTTTATCACAAAAAAGAAAAGAAACAAATAGACATATCATCCTACTTGAAAGCAACTTAAAATAAACGCATAAATTGTCCACGATTTTCCCAACGGATCATTTTAAACGAAACATTACATTTTTTATTATGTATTTTCAATATTCCTGACATTAGAAGGAATCAAATTGTAAAATTTAGGTGCAAGATATAATTATGGGACACATAATTTGTATTTAATTTCTTATTTGCATGTACAAAAAAAACTACATATACTGCAGGGATATATTTATAAGATTTTAATATTGTTAATATCTTGCATAGTGGGATATAATCTAGGTTTTTTTTAAATAATCCTTACAATATGGTTCTGCACCACTTTTAGCTGCCCAAGCAGATTTGAACCGTTCATCCCACCCCACACAAATATGCCATATACTAAAAGGGGCACAAATGCTTCGTAAACCATCAAAATCTATTTTTTTTTTCTCAAATACAGCACATGCTGGTCCCACTGTCAGTGTTGCCGCTTGGTAGATAAGCGCGCGTACCCCACTCTGTATAATGGGTTGCCTAGCATTACGCGGACTATCTCGGCAAACATCAACGGGAAAAATTGTCATACAGTTCTCACGTTCTATGTATTGACATATTTTTATTTACCCATGACCCATGTGCATTAGATGAAATCACTGAAATGAATGCGACGTCTCCCGTTTTTATGACTTTTGAAACTTAAAAATCAAAACATCGTTTTCAGTTATTTTCGATATTTAACCGGTTTCAATTCAATAACGATAATATGTCGGATTCCGAATCAAGTTGCTCTGCAAGACAGAAGCACAACAAAAGATGCGATACTCTCGAATACAGAAAACAAAACAGAAAAAAAGAGTGGAATCTTTGAAGAAAACCAAACATAGACAGCAGGCTTATAGGAAAGAGTGGGCAACAAGTGCACCAGTGTGCTGAAACTGCTGAACTGTGCGGCACTCCGATGCACAGTGTATAGCACAAATGTTTCTTGTGGTCGACTCAGTCACGCGAACGATAGCAAATTGTGCGCAAACATTTCGGAAACGTTCGCGCACATCAGTTACTTTTGTGCGCGTGCACATGCAAGCAGTGGATTCGCGTCGGCGGGTACATACTTGTTGTTCGCGAACTCAGTTACTCAGTATTGCTCCCCCTCCTGGAATGAAAACATTTGTTTGTACGCGCACTTCTTTTACGAAATTGAAAATGGACTGGACGAATGACAGGATTATAAAATTTATTCAAGCTATTGAAACTTATCCTCTTCTATGGGATTCCAGTCACAATGATTATAAAAACAGAAACAAAAAACACGACGCCATTCAAGAGTTGGCTCAAAGTTTCAATTGTGACTCGACTGAGGTAATGAGAAAATAGATTATTTTAGCTCAGTGCCGAAGAGAAACGAAGCAAATAGCCGATTCAAAATCTTCAGGTTCTGGGTTTTCAGATTTATTATTTTATATTATCACAACTGCAGTTTTTAACGCCAAGATCCGTTTCAAGATGTAATGTTACTTTCTTTTGCAGTCGTGCTAACATAAATTTGATTTTGAAATCACCTGAAAGGGTTGTGTTTTGTGACATTCTTATGTTCTATTTCGGAGCTAAAATGTGTTCTGCGGGAGCGCCTTAGATAGTTAGTTAGGCTTTTGTAATATTTCTAATTTAAGATTTTGGCCTATAAATGGAATATCATCTGTTGGGCAATACAAGCTATAAATAAGCCTTATTGAAACAGCGACACATTTTCTGTAGTTGGTGTCTGCGTTGCAATATGAGGACTAAGTGCATTGACCAGCAACTCATAATCTTCACACGATATACGAGTAAAGTTTTTAAATCCACTTAAGGGATTTTATATTTTCTACAAATCTATTCGTTTCTTCATTCTGTCGCTGTAGAAAAGGCCTCACTCAACATCGTGGTTTTCTTCTTCGTTTCTTTTTAAGCAGACTACCTATTAAAACACAAGCTGCAGCACAAAACACTACATATTCCTGCTCGTCCATATTAAGAACTGAAATTAGTGAGAACTTTGCTTGGTAAACATATTCGTGCAGAAGTGTGCTACACTGTACGCTTACAAAAGTTATGCACTGCTTTGCCGGTGGACGCAGAAGATAAATTCGATACCAGTGAGCACATTCAATGCTGGAGTTTCACACAAAATGTTTGTAAACAAATGTGCTGAACACCATTTTGGTGGAATCGTACCATTACAGCTATAAAAGTTTCTTTAGATACACGAGAACAGGGAACAAAAGATTAAAGTTTCATCGTTTATTTGACAGTCAGGCTCGATACAACAAATGATTATCAAACTCCAAAACAAACAGATTAGTCAAACAAGCCAAAGCCCATGTCATCGTCACTTTCTTCTGACTCTTCTTTCTTCTCCTCTTTCTTGGATTCAGCTGCTTTGGCAGCTGGTGCAGCAGCTGCAGCTGGCGCGGCCGCAACGGCTGCGAACTTGCTTGGATCCTGGAACCAAAAACTCTTGTCTTATTATCTAGCTTCAAAATGAGGCAAAGGCTTCAATAGAGTGTGATTATCAGTATTTTGTTTCCTCATATATCCCCGTCGTACTAGTGGGTTCTGCTATTTCTAGCTCTAGTACGGTATCGAGGCCAATAGGAGACGAAAAATAATCATCATAGTAAATGCGCAATAACCAAGAACTGACTATATTTGATTTGATATAAACAATAAACATATAACCTTATTTACTCCTCGTCAAAACAAACATGAACACTCGATCGCCGCGTCTATTTCATCTTGTTGCCTGCCCAGGCATTATTGGCCTGCTGGCCAATAGGGCGAATTTAAAGATCACGCGCTAGTGTTTGTTTTAATGAGACACTATGTTTCATTCCTCAAGGCAGACATGTCTCTTAGGCCCGTATCGTCAGTCGTCCCTACAATTGTAGGGCGCCTTTATGGCCTCCTTGATTGTCATAGTTTTCTATTTCTCCGAGTCAGCGCTCTATTTTGAGGTTATGTCAGAAACATCAATTTGCATCAAATTGTGCTTGGTTTTGAGTTATATCATGTTTTATCAGCCTGAAATTTCCTACAACTTAAAGGGAAAACAAATCTTCACAATAGGAGAGCGCTGACACGGGACAAGTGTAATCTAGAAATTTTTGAAGGAGAGAAAGGAGTATGACAATCAAGGAGGCCGTAAACGCGCCCTACAATTGTAGGGTCGACTGACGATACGGGCCTAAGTCATGTATTCTTTTGACGTGTGTAAAGACATTTGTGTAGTAACACCAATAAACTATTATTATTATTAATCTTAGTGATATAGGAACACTAAAAACATTGCGCCTTTAGCGCATCAGGTAAATGGCATTCTGTAGTGCAAATTATACCAACTACAATCGCGTTCACATCGTGCCATTCACTGATATGTCACTCCATTTTCTAGGTGCTCTACTTCTATATAACCATCCACAATCCTTCAAATGGAACCGAGCAGCCAATTTTGGAGTGATTGAATATTCAGTTACTCACATTTTGAATAATGTTTGGTAATGATTGTGTCACTGGCAAGCATATTTTGTTAGACATTGTGGTTTGACTACAACTTATAATTCTCCTATACCTATAACTGTTTTTTTTAATTGTCATTGGCGTACTTCATTGGAATAGATATTACTGACATTGAAAAATGCTTTTTGAGAGTTAACTTCTGGTTAGTAGTAAAGTTCCAGTTATGTTGCGATTGCAAAACCAGGCCTTGAACATCCTTATAATTTATAATATCAAAAAATGCCATATTCTGTACACTTAAGTGTCACACACGTGGGGTTTGTATAACATCTCGCTGAAGCTGTAGTAGCCATTTATTATATAGATAGATTATTTGACTATTTTATGGCAAGTCTAACTATGTATCTTGAATAGCTAACATGTACAGGGAAAACCAAATTTGTCTGATGGCTTGAGTTGGATGTCTAAAAGAGAGAAGCGCGAGAAGTGTGTATCAACACATGCTAGAAAGAGATAGAAGTCAGTTGAACAGCCAAGGTTATCCATCACCACACTGCGTAACGGCGGTGACGCAAAAGGTCGTAGCCGCGTTGTTAAACCAGAAAATATTCCATTTTGATTAAAATTATTTATTTCAATTTTGATGCGACTTGGCGTTTCAATTTATTTTAGAATTATCCTTGATTTCCACCGATGGTGATAAAATCAACACATCCCGAGTTATTATTTCATTTTCGACAGCGCTGGGGTCGGAAAATGTAACAAATAACGTTTTTCAATACAAATTATCTCTGAATGCGTGTACGCAGGTGAAAGCCAATTTTCGAAGCATGATGGCACTCCCCTAAGAGCGCTAGATGGGTACTGACCAAAATCGCTCAACTATGATCATGTAGGTGGAGACCTTGCATTGGGATGTACAAGATACGGTGCTATCAAACCAATGTTGCAATATAGCAGAATTTGTGGCGATCCTGACCTTTCATTTCGACCTTAAATGGAGCGCCGAATCACAAACAGATTAGACACAATTAACAATTATTCAAAAATGTCTATGCTCAAAATAAAACCATTATTTCGACGTAGAGAATAAACAAACGAAAATTTTCAGTATGTATCATAATTCAAGGACCTGGTGTAACATATTGGCAATGAAGTAGATGGCCACGAGCTATGCTATCCAGGTGGCTTCTATCTCTTAACATATGCATCTATACACAATTCACTCATACAGAGTGTATGACAAATTATAGTAATAAAAAACAAGCAATTATTACATGTATGACATACTAAACAAATTAAAGTTAAATTATTTACTTCAGATTACATTAAAGCAAAGTGAGTATATCTCATAGTTAACATCAGTGGGCTTTAAACGCTGATCTGAAACAAAGTTATTGTGATTGCAAGATTTTCTAAATGAATAGCAGAAATTAGAAACCATTTACTTACAAAATCAAAACTGTGACTGTTTATAAAGTTTGTAGAAGAGAGTACATATTGCAAGGGCATGTTCACTAAAGATGTTTTTGATTTATTTGAAAGGAAAAAAAATATCCTTCAATAGGAAAAATTCATAAAACTAGGTTCGAACAGAAACATATTTACACGAATTATGTATTATTACTATGAATTGAACTTGGTAATTTAGTTGCTAGTAGAGCAAAAACAGATGTGAATTACTGACCTTGAGATATTCCTTGATGGTAGCTGCTTCCTTGAATTCAATCTCAGTAACAGCAGCAACAGCCAATAAGTTTTTGAAACCATTGGCAATGCTATGTGGCACTGAAGCAGTAGTTGGGTAGCCAATAGCCAAGCAGACAGATGCCAAGTTAGCAACACCTGCCAAAAATTTCTCCCTGGAAGGATATACAAATTTAAATTTATTTTAACATTGTCTTGTTAAGCATGTAAAACATAGGTAGGAAAAACAGTTAAAAAAAAGCAAAAACTTTATATATTACCTTAAGTCTTCAGGCTTAATGTCCAAGATTGCTGGTGCAAAAATGGTTCCTGAATCATACACCTGCTCTACTTGCAGACCATATGAGAAAGGAGAGATGTTCAACATGTTTAAAAGAGTGGCTTCAGAAGCTCCCACCTTATCTCCAGGTTTCAAGATGTGGACATCATTGATGATTTCAATAGTACCTGAAAAAATATAAATATACCCCAAGTTCTCCCATACACCATTCTTGTAATATACTTTGTATCAATGAATTTGAATTTAAGTATATAAACTAACTGTATATAGTTAAATATTAAGTCAAAATTGAACTTTTTCTCATTTTGTTACCTTTAGAAATTTTAGTGGGGATGCTGAGAGCCTGGAAGAAAGATGTTTTTTCAGGACCCAATCCAGTATTCTGTGCAGGAATAACAACAGGCAGAGGAGCAATGGCTCCAGCACGGGCAGGTGCTCGTACTTTGTTCTCCAATAGTTTGTCTCTAATCTCCACAAGATCATTGCGAGTAAAGACAAATCCTACATTGCCCTATAAAATAAAAATAATAGTGGTTTTGAGGTAATCATTCAGGTATCAGATTTTTCAAGAAAGAAGGTAGCAATATTGTGTATAATTAATGGATCTACAGAGCTATATAAAGTCATGGACAAAAGTATGGAAAGATTTGTTTTCTGGTTATACTCTTAATATTTGAATAATTAATTACATACTAAAAAATAAACATCCACTACTAACTTAGGAACATTTTAGAAATAAATGTAAATACAAAATAAAACCCAAGTCTCACATATGATAAAGAAAAATCCTTGGACAAAAGTACAGAAAGATTATTTTTATTAAGAAAAAAAAAAAAACATTCAAATTAAACAAGAAAAGTTCAGTATTTTGTTGAAAATCTCTTCATCTTCTTGGCATGGAATCTACAAGTTTTCGACACACATCAACTGGAATCTTCCAACATTCATCTTGAAGAACTTCCCATAGATAAGGGCTGTCCAACAAAAAAATGCAGTTTGGAGGGCCGCATTATAAAATCTTTCTATACAACATTATTACAGAGTTAATGTAAGAATTGTGCATATTCGGTATTTGAGAGTAATTTATACATGTGATGTATACATGACCTGTGAAGCGGGCTGCAAGAAAAGAGTTTGCAGGCCGTATGTTGGACAGCCCTACCATAGATCATTCTCACTTCATTATGAATAATTCTTTGCCGAATTTTCTGCTCTTAGTGCTCCCAAAGGTGCTCAATTGGACTGAGGTTGGGGGATTGCACAGGCTATTCCAGTAAATCAATGCTTTTCTCTAAAAACTAATTTTTTACTAAATGAGATGAATGTTTTGGGTCGTTATCTTGTTGATATTTTCACAACAGCACCATTTCTTCTTCACATAGGGTAACATAGTATTCTGTAATATGTCGCAGTACATAAAGCGATCCATTTTCCCAATTATTCTGTGTCGGGCCAGACATGGAAAAACACTCCTAGATCATAACACTGCCACCACCATGCTTTACTGTAACCTTTTGATGCTCGATATCAAATTTTTACCTAACAGGTCTTCTTACAAATGATCTTCCATCAGCACCAAATATTTTAAATTTGCTTTTGTCGCTCCAAAGCACCGTACCTCAGATTTTAGGTGACCAATTTACATGTCTCTGAGCAAACAAATCTGATCTTTTGGTTCTTTTTAAACAGTCACAGTTTTTTGACAGCAACTCAACTAGACATAGATGTCTTTTCACAATACTGGCCATAATGTGTGTGTTGAAATATTGTTGGATGTCAGCATTAATTTGGACGGATGACTTGTGCAGATCGGCTATCAACATTCTTTTAATGCCCAACCCAAAATAGGGGGTAGTTTTTCTGGGACAACCTGACTGGCTGATTAGTAACATTTCCTAGTAACTGAAACTATTTTATAATTTTTGAAACAACACCCTCGCTCAAATCAAAATTTCTTGCTAAAGTACACTACTTTACTACCTTTTCAACAACTTTAAGTCGCAAATCTTCAGGCAAATACTTATTCATGCCCATTCTTAATAGGGTGCTGGTTATAGCAGTGATACAACAAAACTAATCCAATGATGTTAAATATTTAACAATTCTGGTATCAAAAAACTTTCCATACATTTATCCAAGATATAAACAAAATGACAGGAAATTAGCAATGTGTGGCAATACCACTGTCGCAAACTCTCTCAAAGGTGCTGTTCATTGTTTATAGTTTTCGGTTTTGTGATGTAATTTAAGTCTCTGTTCTATGTACTGTTTAAATGCTTATAGATATATAGAGAATATTTTTTTGCAATAAAAAATGCTTTGACTGCAACAATTTCCATTTTAAATTACATAATAGACACTTCTAGATACATAAAAAAATAACATCAAAATTTTGCTGGAGCTCGCATGTTAACAGCACCATGTTTGCAAGTAATATCATTATTACTATTATAAGTGTCAAATACAGGTAAACGATTATAAAATTACCTTGATGTGTGGTACAAGCTTCTCCAATGCAGGATTGCGCTCAAGATGACCTTTGATCGCTTTACGCATCATAGTGTTCTTACCCATAAGAACCACAGCATTGCCTCGGAGTGAAATACGAATTTGCTGCATTTGCTTCGAGCCGACATTGTCAGCGCCCACAATGAAACACTTGGGGTAATCTTCCAGAAGTTGCTATAAGATACAAAGTAGGGCTAAATGTGTGCCAAATAGATATAAAATTGTACGTAACTAAAAAAGGAATTTCAGATAAGGTGAACAACAGAAGTCCTCCACATACTAGCGGGTTCTGCTATTTCTAGCTCTAGTATGAGACGGGGGCCATTCAGACTTCAATTATCATCATTTCGAGTTTATATAATCTAGGAATATGGAACACGTTACGAGCCGAAAACGGTACTTACGATCAACTTGTTGAAGTAGTTAGCTTTCCAGGTTGCCTTGTCCTCCCTACCCATCTTGATGCGTGGCTAGGGACTCGTCTAGTCGAATTTAAGAACTGGAAAGAAAACATATCTTAGTTTTTATCAGTCGGGCTTGGTTGTAAAAAATTATTAATAGCGGAAACAAAATACGTCTTTTAATACCTTAATTATCATCATTTTTATGAGAAGAGAACAATCAGAAGAAATAAAATCAAATGATTGTATAGATATTTTGAAAAATTATATTCAAAACGCAACTTACCTCGGCGAGAAAAACAGGCGCAAGAAACTGAGCAAAATTGACGTATGACAGTTGACCACAATTAACAGTTGACAAAGGGGATATAGAACCAGATAATCAATTAATGCCTTACAACGTTGGACACATGGCTATTCGCCACATCGTGTGGGAGTGCTGACGGATTGCATGTGCCCAACGTTCGCCACATGGCACGTGCGGGCTCTTGTCGGTAAATTTGACCCACGTCAAAGGACGTTCCAGCGTTGGAAGCATGGTTCGTTACGCTCTCAGAGATGTCATGTATTAGGTTAGAACCAGTAGCGGCGAAAAACATTATTCTCGTGTTTGTGGTGAAGTATTCTGATTTGAATACCTACCTATTCATAGTAATATATGTTCCGTAACAAACTTCTGAGGAGAATTAATTAAATTAGTATACATGCAAAGCATAGGCTGTCATAACAACACTTTTTTCATATTGCTAATATTTTGTACGTTTCGCAGGTGAGTTATGGCTGGCCTAAGGATATGTATTTTAGTAAATTATGAATTATCAAGTTGTTTAATTATAATGTCTAGTTGAGAAATGTATTTACTTGCATTTCATAACTAACGAAAACGATTAAATAAATGATAACTCTGAAAGTACTATCAGGATTTTGATGAAATTTTTACCCTATGTTACTGCTATGAAAATGACAAAAAAGCTCTGCAGTTTTTAAAAATCGGTACAGTGACGGCGGAGTTGTCGTCGAAAAACAAACAAAAAAACGGTCAAACTTCGTTTTTAGACATTTCTGAGGTTTCTGACAGACTTCAGTTTTGGTGGCTGAAGACAGATCTGAAATTATTTTTCGGTGCTCGAAAAAATTGTATCGTTTTTCTTTCAGTTGTAAAGGTTCAAGCGCGACACTGACACCGATAATAGACGTTGGCGTCACCATGCGTCGAACATTCGAGACTAAAAAGTTCATCCCATTGTTAGAAGGCACATTCGCCAATTGTGGGGAGTCGAACGTTGTAAACAACGTTGTACACAACGTTGTATACAATGCTGGAAGCATCGTGTGGGACCCGCATTAGATATTGTTAATGCGGGTTCTACACGATGCTTCCAACGTTATTTACAACGCTTTTACAACGTTCGACACTCCAAAATTGGCAAGTGTGTCTCCTACACGAAAAATTATACAAAATAAACGAGGAAACAATTTTTCCGAGCGCCGAAAAATAATTTCAGGTGATTCGTCAGCGTCCAAAACTTAAGTCTGTCACAAGCCTCAAAAATGTCGAAAAACGAAGTTTGACCGTTTTTTGTTTGTTTTTCGACGATAGCTCCACCGCCACTGTACCGATTTTCAAAAGCTGCAGAGCTTTTTCGTCATTTTCAAAGTAGTAACCCACGGTCAAAATTTCATCAAAATCCTGATAGTACTTTCAGAGTTATCATTTATTTAATCTTCTTCGTTAATTATGAAATGGAAATCAATATATTTCTCAACTAGTCTTGCATTGCAACAGGACATTATAATGAAACAACTGTAAGCACTTGATAATTTATAATTTATTAAAATACCTATCCTTAGGCCAGCCATAACTCACCTGCGAAACGTACAAAATATTAGCAATATCAAAAAAGTGTTGTTATGGCAGCCTATGCCTAGTACGTATACTAATTCAATCAATTCTCCTCAAAAGTTAGTTACGGAACATACGTTATTATTAATAGGTAGGTATTCATGTCAAAATACTTCCCACATACCACTACTTCACCACAATCACAACAAACAAATTATGTTTGTCGCCGCTACTGGTTCTAACCTAAAACCATCAAACACATGACATCTCGTGTGGAAGCGTAACAACCATGCTTCCAACGTTGCAAGGTCCATTGACGCGGTCAAATTTACCGACAAGGGCCCGAGCGTGCCATGTGTTGGACACATGCAATCCGTCAGTGCCCTCCCACACGATGTCGCGAATGGCCATGTGTCCAACGTTGCAAGGCATTCGTCACATCGTGTGGGAGCGGGTTAACCCTTGAAAGGCATCTATTTTTAGCAGTCTACTTATATGTTGACAGATGACTATAGTCTGTCACTGTGACAGCGTGTTGACAGATTGGACAGTTTGCCATAACCTCACATTTGCTCTCTTACGTGTCTTTTAGAAAACAGAAAAGTATTAAAATATGCATTCCGTTTTAACGAGGGGCAATACTGTTTTAGCGTACGCCCTTAGTGTGTTAGCTTGCCTTACTTTCGCATGTTTTCTATCCACAGTTTTTCTGGACTATGTTACAAACGCTAACATAAACACTGTGAAAGTTGTCGTGTAAGTACCCTTATGATATATCCGAGAAACGTGAATGAAAAATATCCATTTACAGGAAGAATGTACCAGATTATAGTGCTAGTAGAGAAAAGAATGATTTGGGATACCTCACCTTCAATTTACAGGCTGATTTGACCCACCTTTTCAACTGGAATGTGAAGCAGTTGTTCCTATACCTCACAGCAGAATATAAAACTACAAACAATGAACTCAATCAAGTAAGTATATAAATTAGTACCAAATAATATAAAAGATCAGTGCTTGAAATAATGCTCATCATAATAGCTGTCCTAGGCACATGGAGCCATGCCTAGTGTCCAGGCTTGGAGAGAGGTCTCGAAATGCCCAAAAAACCACCAAATTTACTAAAAAATTCTTGAGTAATAACAGAGCTTACAAATTGATGATTCCATGATCTTGCAATCTAAATATTCATAGCAATTCAATGAATCTTTTATTCTGAGGCAGAGGCAGTAAGGAACCTTAAAATGACTGGCTTAAGTGCATGATCCTTCCATGCAGTATATTAGCTTAGACAGTTAGCACTATTGAATTATTCTGAGTAACTCAACTGGGTCATTTGAAAACACTTTTAGTATGGAAACTTAGCATGTTTACTCTTATCAACTATTTATCATTCAGAATTTAAAATGAAGTGAAATGGAAATAAAAGAATAAGAATATTGAGTCTATAAAATGATAATAATACCTTCTGTACTTTTATAGGTGGTCTTGTGGGATAAGATTATTCTGAGAGGGGAGAATGCAGTGTTGGATTACAAAAACATGAATACAAAGTATTACTTTTGGGATGATGGAAATGGTTTAAGGTAAATCTTGTAGCATTACCAGTATATATTTTGCACAACCTTTAATAGTCATCATGATAAGCATAATAATAGTCACAGCTATAAGGTTGGGGCATGTTTATACAACTGTCTTAATTATAGTCATAAACAGTTGCCTTTTTTGATTTTGACATATAATAGATCATTTAGATCAGTTTGACGTCTTTGGCCTTACTTTTTTGGTGTGTTCAGTATAAAAAAAAGAAGGAAGAAAAGACAAACCATGTACACAATATTTTAAATAATTCCTTGACCAGTTGGACAATAAACAAAATAATAATATTGGAACATCCTGTATAGTGCAGTAGGTCACAGTTTGATCATAACCATATGATGTAAATGTTACAAACTTCAACTATTACTATACTTATCATTATGATAATTTTTATAACTTTGTTCATCATGTCTATGATTATTAAAAGGTTGTATCCTCATAAATATGCCCTCTTAGAAAGATTTAAAATTTTTGTAAAATCATTATTTTACTATACTCCACTTGCTTTGGTGTCAAAAATCATATTTCAATATCAATCCATGATTTAGAGCCGTTTTACACACAAGAGAATTACTCCGAAAATTATGGTCATAATTATGCCGAAAATTTTTGCTGTCGTATTACATGTAAAAGAATTCTTGTGAAAATTTTCATGGTAAAAATATAAAACCCGTTCTATATTATATGCGCGAGAATCGGCGCAGAGGGTTATTTCCGTGCATGTCAATATCAAATGTCAACGACAACAACAACATAACCTCACTTAACATTTGTGGGAGTGGTCCTGTTCGAGTCGTACGAAGGAGCGTTTATTGTTATAAAATGGCCAAACCTGTACAAGGTGAAGTCACCCAATTACAAAAACAGAAATTTGCGGCGTCAGGCGCTGGGTGCGACAGTCCAACAAGCATTGAGAAGTTTTATAATATTAACCAAGATCTCGATTTCAAAAATAAATTTAAATTATCGACGTCTGTTGTCTTTCCGATTATATTGGACGTCATACCCGTTAAGGTTATGTCCATTTGAAAATACAACTCTAATGCGCAGGCGTATCATATGAATTACTCCGAAATTTTGTTTGCTTGTGTCATACAGGTTGTAGAGAAAATCTTCAATATTTTTTCCATGCAAATTTTCAGCATAATTATGACCATAATTTTCGGAGTAATTCTCTTGTGTGTAAAACGGCTCTTTGCCGAAAATTTTGGCTGTCGTATTACACGTAAAAGAATTCTTGTGAAAATTTTCATGGTAAAAATATAAAACCCGTTCTATAGAATATTCGCGAGAATTGGCGCAGAGGGTTATTTCCATGCATGTCAATATCAAATGTCAACAACATAACCTCACTTAACATTTGTGGGTGTGGTCCTGTTCGAGTCGTACGAAGAAGCGTTTATTATTGTTTATTTATACATTCATATGTTAATGTCGTGGAATCGGGAAGAAGTTACACTGTTGTTGGAGGAGTACCAAAAATGGTCAAACCTTTACAAGGTGAAGTCTCCCAATTACAAAAACAGAAATTTGCCGCGTCAGGCGTTGGATGCGATAGTCCAAGCATTGAGAAGTTTTATAATATTAACCAAGATCTCGATTTCAAAAATAAATTTAAATCAACGACGTCTGTTGTCTTTCCGATTATATTGGACGTCATACCCGTTAAGGTTATGTCCATTCGAAAATATTACTATAATGCGCAGGCGTATCATATTAATTACTCCGAAATTTTGTTTGCTTGTGTCATACAGGTTGTAGAGAAAATCTTCAATATTTTTTCCATGCAAATTTTCGGCATAATTATGACCATAATTTTCGGAGTAATTCTCTTGTGTGTAAAACGGCTCTTAGGGAGTAAAATGGCGATATTTTTTTTGACACCATAACAAGAACAAGCTTGCGAACATCAAAGGAGTTTGATGAATGATGTAATGTAATGATTTCGCAATTGTAGATAACATCTTTTGACACCAAGTCCTAAATATTACACATAAAATATGTGATTTTTTAGTTTTTTTGTAATGTACTATTTTCTTACTATGATGTTCATCCTTGTTTTTATCATTTTACTAGTCTCCCTCATTTAAAAATCAATCAATAAGGTTTATAATTTTTCATAAAGCTTTAGATGTTTATTCAATGTTGTGTTTGTGGTTTATCATCTCCTTTCATGATAAAGATATATTTATCTTTTAGTAATAAAGTATGTTTGAGGTAGGTTTGTACTTACAATATACTGCTTCCCATAAAAATAATATAACAAAATTTATTAAGATCACCCAAGACTGAATAGGATCTGGTTTGAAAATTATTTAACTTGTCTTTTATTTTCAGGGCCAATGAAAATGTAACATTATCACTTTCTTGGAACATCATTCCAAATGCTGGATTATTACCAAATATTGTGGCAACTGGAAGTCACTCATTCAAGTTCCCATCTGAATATACTACTTATAGAGTGTAATTTATTATAAATATATTACATTTAAGGATAACTTTTTCTGAATTGGTTACACCCAACCACATTCTTTCAGTAATCAGATCATAATTTGGTAAGCAACGTTTCTTTGGCTCCTACTTTTTTGTCAGCACATGATATTATAGATTATAGAGTATGCATCAAAGATTCAAATCAAAAGGTCTGACCAAAAATTCCTTAAAGAGATAATTCATGTAAAATAAATACCTTCAATACACAGTATTTTCATTATGTGTGCCTACAAGCAAACAACTTGGTATATTGGAACAACTTGGGATGCTGAATTTAAATGTAGCCTTCAAAAAATCGTGAAGTGATCAGTTTTGGTTGAAATTGCAGATTCACAAGAGTTTTTCTAGAAAATTCCAATAATAAACTTTCTCAATGCAAAATCTCCATTTTCGATCCAAAAGATTGTGTATGTGAAATAGAGTTTATCACTGTTTGAAATTCAATGAATATGTGTCAACTATTACCTTTCAGACATCACCAACAAGAAACATCTTCTTTATCTGGGACTATATTTAATGAAGGATGATAAACAAATTATGTTACTGGCCTTTCGGCAGCCATGTCAGCCTTCTACAAACTACAAAATCAAAAAATGTGAAATACATTTCAACTTTGATATTTATTATATTTTTCATTTCAACACAGTTTATTTATATCAGTAAGTGACTACATTTAAATGTTACACAAACACCAATGTAACAACTCTGTTGACAATGGCATCATAGCTATCTATCTCAGACCTGACGCATATATCGGCTCTAGAATATCCGCTTCCGCTGAGGTCAAAAGAGGAATCTCGTACCTCTAGGACGATGCGATGTCCAAAATGGTCGTTTAGCTCGGGGATGCAAACCTTCGTGCCGTAGGGAATTCCCAGGCTCTCGTCCATTGAGAGGGTTACATAATCTGCCCTGTTGTCGATGTAGTCCTATGAAAGAAAATGAGTCGATCAGTAAATAAGCTTAGGTTTAGGGGTTGAAATAGGGGGTGAAGATTACTATGGGGTAACTATTATTCTTAAGTTAGAGATACAAATATGGGTTTTTTATATTTGGTTCTTTGTTCTTACATTTTTTCTTAGAAGTTCCACTAGTGGTGAAGTGGGGATTAATATGTTTAAGACTGATGAGGAACTTAGCATATTTCAATTAGATCAGGAGTATATTTCGTCTAACATGAATATTAATAAAGAATTCTAGAAATTATGTCCTTGAGAGGGTGGAATATTTCTATGGGGAATCATCACTTTTCAAGTTTATAACAAATTTATCTCGAAAACTATGACCTGTGAATACGAAATTTAGCATGGAGGTAATTTACGGACAGGAAATGTCAGCTCAGAACGGATTTCGCGAAAGGGCTGGATTAAGTGCTAAGGGCTGATACATACAGAAGTGTAAATCACGAAATCTCTAAAACTATTTTGCCTTCGAATATAAAATTTGTAGGTAGCTTATGAGAGGACACCTTATCTAAGAATGGATTTTACGACAGGGCTGGATTAAGTGGAGGCTACAAGGCTAGGTACTCCTATATACAGGGTGACTTTGAAGTTGAGTCATTAATTTTCAGATAATGATTGTAGAAGGAAGATAAACCAGAATATGTGTGTAAAAATAAAAAAAAATTAAAAAAAAAAATTTACCTTGTTTTATAAAGTATCCTCCCGACAAGTATTTCAGTGCGGACCTGTATTTGATCGTGAGGTCCCCTGTGAGGTCTTAAGTCACCTGATTCACGAGCCCGTTGTACTACATTAACAAAGGCACGAGGGGTTGGTTGCACTCGATTGGGAAACCGATCCGCATAAACATGTGCCATTTTTTATTTCGTTTGAGCCACGCAACAGAAACTATTCACACGCTAACCGACAGATACTGACTGTATGTATAACTGAACTGAATAAAACACTTAATTGCAAAAACGTCGTTCCAAATTCTTTCGCTTTTTTGTTTCCGATGCGATGAACCAGTAAGGCGGATTATATCCGTTGTTGCCAAACACGAGTACATGATATTATTATTGAGACAGGGCGGTACTCAAACTTCCAAAGGGCTATAACTTTGTTACTTTAATTTTACCAGAAAAATGGTAAAGGAAAAAAACATTTCTTTTGATCAGATCTACTCACTGTTAAAATAAATGACTCAACTTCGAAGTCACCCTGTATATAAAAGCAAAAATAACCACATCTGTTAATCAAGAAATCTCGAAAACTATTTGACCCATGACTAGAAATTTATTAGAAAGATAGCTTATGGCCAGGACATGTTTTGCGACAGAGTCAGATTGAGGGGGGATAAAGGGATTTACAAGTTTGCACAAAAGTCCTATTTTTATTATGTCAGTTAATATTGGATATTGCGATATATATTCTGGGGACTAAAGGGTATTGTTTGTTTTAAAATTCTGCTAGTTATCTAAAATTGACAATACTCTAAAGGTAGAGTAGATTCATATTGAGAGTAGATTTTGTAACATGGGCGAAAAGGGGCTTATGGTTTAATCTAATGTCTTGATTTCAACATTTTAGTTGTTTTAACAATTATAAGTGCACAAAGATTGTAAATGTATATTACATGCGAAATAAGAAACAAATAACTTCCTAGACAATGTTTTGTAAGCATTTTTTGGTGATGTCAAAGTATTATAGCATTTTGTAGGTCAAAATTTTCATTCTTGCTTCCCCGATTTTACAAGTGGATGAAACATTGTTTATATGTGTAATTTAAAATCAACTCCTTGGATAAATCGGGCGTGGAGATCACAAAAGTCCCATTTTCCTACTTCGACACTTCAGCATTTTTTGATAGGTATACTCAAAATCAGTTTCACTTATTACGATACTGTGCCAAGTCTTCAGTTGAAAACAAGAACAGCATTTTCAATTTGGGACACTGAGTTCGAATAAATGATCATAAAAAATTATAAAGAAAACGTTGCCGTCTAATTTGAGGTAAAAAAGGGGCCCCTGGCGTCAAATTGACGACCTATTTGGAATCTATGCACCAAATTTACCCAGTCCAGTCTAGATCACATATATATAGAAGATTTTGAAAAAGTCGTGGACAGGAAACGGATTGCTTGAGACAATTGATTTATAACTATTCTGCTCAAAGAGGCCTAACCATATACTGTAAGCCGGCGCCCAAAAATGCCGACGAATATCTCATAGATAGAGCTAGGATTTTCGAATGCCTACTTATTTAGGTATCTCCAGGCATTGATTAACGTGTATTCCATCTAATTATCGTAGGTGGTAGACGGTTTCGACTGTCGTGGAGGTACCACCCGGCGGATCTCTAAGGCGGAGCCAGAATGTGTGCATGATACATGCACACGTGTTCCCTCGCTAGAGTCCGTGTGGCGTCCCCCCTTTCCTCTGTATCCTCCTATAGCCCCACGGTACTCATGATTGCGGTTAGGTCTTAGGCCTTCGTGATGGCTCAAGTATATAAAAAAAAACTAAAGATACCCAATTAAAATAGGCATTTAGAGAGTCCACTCTAACTCTTTTAAAGTAGGTTCCTAGTCATTTTTATGTTCTGTTACTGACTCGTAGATGCCGCTAGTATCTTGTCACAAGCTAATGAATCTTAATAAACCTTTAGGTAATTTGGTGCGCTGAATTTGAATATGACCTCCAAAAATCGTAAAGTTTACCTGCAAGGTGTTGAGCAGCTTTCCTTTTTTATCCAGGTATCCAGCAGCTTTTTGCTCCTCATTATAATCCGGATAATAAGCCGTGAGTGTAACATTTTCGAACCTTTTTCCATTACATTTTAAAGATATCTCTGCAACATAAATGATTTTTTTGTTAATTATATCGGAATAACTATAATGCACATTTATTTGCGGCCTGGCCAAACGGAATTCATTTCTCATGATGGGCGAAGTATGATCAGCGAGGACGCACAGTGACGGATTTAGGATTCGAGTGATTTCTGTCTCGTAGTACCGCTCGGGTTTGATGAAATTTTCAAACAAGGTAGTTAAGAATCGTTCTCAGTAAATTTATATGCTCCGCACCCCGGTAGTTCTATGCACCTAATTGCCATATTTCACACATCATAATTTCCTCGTAAACTTGCATTTGAACCTTAGCATGATAGAAACATGCTTTCGATACGAGTACTCCTGCTGTCTGAGCTCATGCTCGGCGAACCAGTCCGACCGATCAATCTGTCCACACTGCAGCGAAAAAGACGTATACTCGTACACGGACCATGCACGAAATGAACGATAACTCTGTGAAGCGATGCCGCGCTGAGCGCTACCGCGCAGATATGGGAAGGGACAACCTTGCCAGATGGACAATAACTATCGGTAGAACAGGAAAAGAATGTCTAATTCTAATTGTAAGGACTGATTTAATCCGTTTATTTTTTCTGTTGTACAAGTTCGTAACTGATTTTTTTCTCAGAGGATTTAAATTGCGCTGAACTCAATCCTCTATGAACTGATGACGGCGTTGCGTAGGAAAAATACAGAGTCAATCTACTTGACGCCATTTTCTTAAGTGCCTGTTCCCAAAATCTACAAAAGAGCTCTACCCTACCAAGTTTTGCGAGACTACTTTTAGTGTGAGGTTGCGGACAAGGGTCCGCCAGTAGATTATTTTTTCCGTTTATCCTGACTGCAATTTGCACCATTTTCAAATTATCCGCGTTTTATACTAACGAGAGTGCTGATGAAGGAACAACATCTCCCATGAAGTTCTTGTAGGTACATCAAATAAAGCCCCTTTTTCATTAGACATAAATTAGCAATCTTCTGTATCTGTTAAAGAATTAAAAAAGTAGTTTTACTTACCATTTTGGTATAACGTGTAAGCATTCGCAAACAGACAATAAAAAATCGTTGCGATAATAAGATACTTCATTTTAAAATGCAGACTGCATGTGGTGAATTTTTCCAACAACAGGCTGCTAAAAAGTGCGGTGTCGTCATTTTTCAACTTCAACACAGCAGGTATAAAATTACAGGTTCATTGTACATAAACAATCCGTCTTTTCTCTAAATATACAGGGTGTTTCAAAAAGACGTGCCAATAATTCTAGGGTAGAAATTACATCCAAAACTAACAAACTCACTGACTTTGTCGGAGAAAAAAGTACATTTTATGAAATACCATTCAATTTTCGCACGTGTAGATATTTAGGTTTGAATATTGGAGGTAAAATCCTAAAATACTCTTATGAAAAGCTTTAGGCTTCTGAAAACACCGTGAAACCTGTTATTCGAAACACTATATGGCATGTGATGAAAGCTATGGCACCTAATTAAAACATTAATTGAATAATATTCGTGTGTTCAATCGGTAGCGTAGAAGCATTTACCGTTCATTAAACCACTAGTTTTCATGGTATACTTTTCCTGATAGCAGTACCCATGTTAGATTCTTCGGTTTATCGAAAATCACAACTAGTAATTGTGGAACCAATCACTTTGAGTAAAATTCTTATGATTTTACTTTAAAAATTCGGCCTTTTTTTCTCAGAGTTCTCACAAATCGTTAGCAACCTCGAACAGTAAGTATACAGACGGTTTCCAACACTGATCATACTACGCCAGGTATTTTCCAAAGAGTCAAAGTGCCTTTGTAGCGTAGAGCCCGGGCTTGAGTTGGATCCAGAAGTGGTCACTTCCAAGGTTGCATGTTATAACATTTATTCAGCATTATTTTGTATTTATTATAATTTACAAATATCCACGAAAGTTGTATCAAATGCGTGTTTATTATTGTGGTTTTAAATAATTATAAGCTTTATTTAACTACTTTTGAAATGAGGGTTTTCTTTGATTTGAAGTTTCTTTATCTATAAACAAAAACGTATATGCCGGCAAAACCAGTGGCGTGCACAGGAAATGTGTAATGAATGAATTTCGTAAAAAAAAATTCATCATCCCATATCTCGGTGTGGGAGCATCTTTGGACCCACGTTTTCGGACTTTTTTTTGTTATTTTTTATGTACTTTCTACAATACAAATATTGGCACCCTGGATACGATGTCCAAAGGCAAACTATCTAAATAAAAAATATATCAACTAGACTAGCTTAATAACATAGTAAATGATATTCGAAATAAATTACTCTGTCAATGTTTCTTCTGAGTCCTTTGATACACTGGATCAGATGGAACTCATTTCTTGGTCCCAATGAGAAGTGTATTTTACAGTGGCGGATCCAGGGTGGTGTCTTGGGGGTTTGCCCCCTAAAAATATATGACTAGAAAAATTCAAACTTGTTTATCAATTTACAGATGACCTTCCCCCCATCTTTCTCAACATGAATTCTGAGACACCCGAATTTTTTTTTTGAGCGGGTAAGTTTAAATTCATCATACCGACCCCCTCCATCAAAAAACTAGTTTATATATCCGTCTCCGGTATTTCACAATGTCGATCAAGATGTGTGTGCTTCTTCCCGATTTAATACATGTCTGACGATTTTCGAGATATCGGTATATTAACATATCTGTATTAAGATAAACTTAACGGTAGAATAAGATCCTCAAATCTTGTGAATTGATAAGATTAATAAATGTGAGTCAGGAAAAATTGTATGTGAATACTTTTTACACTATAAACATCTTAAATTGTGAATCTTACTGTAGGATTACGCATTAAGGAAAGGTAAGGGTAATATCATTTTGGTTTCGTGAGGGAGTTCTTTCGCTACTGAAAATATTGTTTTTCAATTATCTCCTAATTATCTAATGAGTGTATAATTAGTTAAAATCAACAATATGACTCTTATCAGTCCATATATATAGTCGTATACAGATATACAATCAAATTCTAAACTTCCTCGAAGAAAATTATATAATAGATACCTATTGGATAGAGCTTCTCAAAATGTTTACGATTTCCGCCAATTTTTTAAAATTGGAGATCTCAACGCGAAAAGCAAACATGTCCATAGCATCTACAGTTCTTACACGAGTAGTTGATGAGATATAAGAAATAAAAGGCAATATTTGTAGTGCTGGATATTGAATGAATCTTAAAATTTGAGGCATCCCGGCCACCATAAGGAGCCAGTGCATAGCCAACTTAAGCGGGCCCTTATGCACCTCTACAATCCTTAAATCACAAGCCTCGCCCTTTTAGCGAAGTTGAGAATCGCCTTGAGTCCAAGCTCCTTGACGTCCTGAGGGTCCAAAGTAATGGACCCCAGTATAGTCTGCTTATAGTAGCTCAGAGCTTCACAGCGACACAAAACGTGCGCCGAGGTCTCTTCCTCTACTCCGCAGCGTTCGCACAAGGGATCCTCAGCCACCCCCATCACGTGCAGGTGACGCCTTAACTTGTTATGGCCAGACAACAGTCCCACCAGCAACCTTAGGTTGGCTCTATCCAGAGATAGGCAGAAGCGTCCATCCTTAGCACTGAGCTCTCGTGCCTGGCGGAGATGTCTAGAGATACTTCTACCCACGTCTCCATTTTCCTCCTAGCTTTATGCGCGGTCACTCCTAGAGCTGGCTCAGGACCAACGAGCTTGCTGGCTGATCCTGTTTTCTCCAGAGTGTCCGCCGTCTCATTGCCCCTTATCCCAGCGTGCCCCGGTACCCATATTAACGATACCGGATGCCTCGCTGCGAGGCAATCCAGAGCCTCCCTGCATTGCAATACAAGACTCGAAGTAATCTTACAGGCACTTAGTGCTTTCATTGCAGCCTGGCTGTCGGATAAGATTGATATTCTTCTCCTAGGCCCACCCTCCTCCAGAATGTGAGATACACAAGCCAGAATCGCAAAGATTTCCGCCTGGAAAATGGTGGTGTATCCACCGAGAGGCAGATATAGCCTAGTTCTAGGCCCAGAGACCCCAGCACCTGAGCCCTCTTCGGTGACCGAGCCGTCCGTGTACCAGACCTGCCCGCTCACTTCGGACAGTCCCCGGCTACCGGCGTCCCACTCCTCCCTCGTTGGATACTCCACAATAAACTTGCGGGGTAATACGATCACCCTAGCTTAGAAGGACGGGGTCCTCCCTTTCTAATTCGACTAAGATGGCAGTATGCCCCTTGACAGGATTCAAGAAAGCCCAGCTGCCCTGACTCCACAGTCGATGAGCGACTACTCTCGCTTCACAGCGGATCACCAGATCCAACGGTGGGAGATCCAACAGAGCTTCCATTGCACTCAATGGCGTTGGTCGCACTGCGCTTGTAATGCTAATACAGGCCAAACGCTGAATTTTATTGAGTTTGGCCTTAGTTGTCTCAGTTCTAATGCAAGGCCACCAGACCAGGGAGCCGTACAAGAGAGATGGACGTACTATCGTCATGTAGAGCCAGTATACCACTTTGGGTTTAAGTCCCCACCTTACCCCGACAACACGTCTACAAGCCCACATCGAATTGCGAGCCTTGCTAACCTTGTATTCCACATGCTCTCTCCAGTTCAGTTTGCAATCCAGGATAATTTCCAGATATTTCACTGACTGGGACAAAACTAATCTAGTCCCAAAGAAGGTCGGCATGACCAGCCCGTCAAGCCTTCTTCTCCTAGTGAATAGGATCAGCTCGGTTTTTTCAGCATTAACAGAAAGATCGACTTCCCTACACCACGATTCCACGGAGCGCAGAACGCCCTGCATAATTTCCGAGACTGTTCTACAGAAACGCCCCCTAACTACTATGCTTACGTCATCAGCATAGGCTTGCGCGTAGACACCCATACTGCTGAGCCTAACGAGGAGTTCGTTCACCACGATACACCACAGTAGGGGTGACAGAACTCCGCCCTGAGGGCAGCCTCTAGCTACATTCACGCTGCAGCTTACGTTATTCAGCATAGCTGTTGTTACCCGACCCTCCAGAGTAGAGAGGACCCAATCTATTAGGATTGATCCAACCCCGTGTCTAACCAAGGCCTGTCTGATAGAGTCGGTTGTGGTGCAATTAAATGCACCTTCAATGTCCAAGAAGGCCACGAGTACCACTTCTCGCTGATCTAGAGTCTTCTCAAGCCTACCGACCAGATTGTGTAAGGCCAGATCAGTCGATTTTCCAGCTTGGTATGCAAACTGATTTGCATGAATGACACACCTTTCCAGCAGGCCATCCCTTAAGTATCTATCAACTATCCTTTCCAGTGTCTTAAGCACAAAAGATGAAAGAGTAATCGGTCGAAAATCCTTCGGGCCAGTATATCTATTTCTGCCCGGTTTAGGAATGAATACTACTTTAGCCTGCCGCCAGCTTCTAGGTGTGAAGCCCGTGGCCACACATGCTCGAAACACATTCAACAGGTAAGGAACAACCAAAATCCGTCCGTGCTGTAACATGGCCGGAAATACGCCGTCCAGACCTGGATTTTTGTATGGAGCAAACAAACGAATCTACTGCCCATACTGTCCTTTCGAAGGTGACAATCTTCCTAGCCGTGCGCCAGTCCTCCCTTGAGGGCCTGCGCAACTGCATGCACTCTGTGATTGATCGCGCTACTGTGGAATCGGGAAAGTGCGTATCCATCAGAAGCCTCAGATTACCTTCCTCAGAAGTAGTATTGCCCCCCCGAGGGATCATGCAGAGATCCCAATCTTGCTTTAATGTCTTTGCATAGGACCCTGTGTATTCTTGCAGTAGCAGGAATGTCATTTATGGACTGACAGAAGTGCCTCCAGGATTCTCTGGAGGCCTTTCTAATCTCCTTTTTGTACTCCTGCAATGCTTTTTTGTAGTCTTCCCATAGAGGAGAACTTCTCCTGTGCTTAACTCTGCTAAGAAGTTTGTGCACCGCTAGTTTTCTATCCTCTAATTCTTTAGTCCAGAAGGTTGCCTTGCCCAATCAGAGATAAACCCTTCTAGAGATGGGAAACTCCAATACTAAAATAAGTTACCGTATTTCTGCGATCTCTGGTGGATTGGTCTCACACCAGTGCTGAATAATGGGCCTTTCCATCTTAACAGGACAACCTAATGGAGCTTTTTACATTCCGTTAATAATAAATCGTCTTACGTAACAAAAACACTCCAAATGGGTTAATTTCCACTTTCTTAGTCATTAATACATGACGCACAATTCGACACAGTGTCTTTCTCCAATGCTGGGATGAGTCGCGCGTCACGTATTAATGACTAATATAGCAGAAATTAAACCATTCGGAGTGTTTTTATTACGTAAAATGGCTTGTGGAAAATCTTTCCTGGGGATGCGAAGGGAGGAATTAAAATTAAAGAAATAATTATAGTCATTTTATGGTCAATCATTCATATACAAATTATATCACCTTTTCTCAGAAAGCTAAATATAATAATAATAATGTCTTTAGAAATCCATCCACACTGCGAGGCGAAGTTTAACCAGCTGGCTACTCTACCACTTAACCTCACAGCGCAGAAACACATACAAAAAAAAGATATAACAATGAATAGCAATCGACTAATATATACAATAATTAAGGCTTAAATAGAGTAATCTTAAGATGTTATACATCTATACTACATGGTCCACTCTAACAAAAAAAAAAAGAAATATATCAGCTAGCTTGGCTAGCAGACCCCAGAAGATGGTTCTTATGGCTCTCTTGAATGCAAGAATTCCCTTTTTTAAAAATCACACCATTTACACCTGGATTGATGGGAATCTGGTTTAATAGTTGCATTATTGATTTTTTTGAGGGCAAAGTAAATATTTTTGATAATGCTCGGTATCCCCTACCACTTTGTTTATGAAGTATAAGTCCCATCAATTTGTCTTCTAAGCTATATCTGCATCCCTGTGATTTACTACCAGCCAGTGTGATCTGGCTCTTGATAAAAGTAGCTACAGTGCTGTCTGTTGCTGCAATGCCTCATTTAATACTTCTCGTGTACTTCTGGTACTTCTGATCAACCTTCTTGTATATCCTAGTCTTCTGTTAGCTCTAGAGAGGTGACTGGCTATCTTATATAGGTTTTTAGCTTTTGGACTTAAGTGGGTTTCTCTGGTTACATGTACCTTATGCAATAATCTAGATTCTGTCCTTGGGGAATCTTGAAATAAAGAATGAAATTGATATTATATTATATATTATTATTTTGATTTTATATTTATTTACTCACATTGTTTGATATCTTTGTACATTGAGTGAATAAATATTATTATTATTATTATATATGTTAAGAAACCATTAGAACTGTATTTTTACAAGACAATACATTCAGTAAAATGTTCCATTTGTAAATAAATGCAAGTGATTGATAGTCAAAGTTGACCAAACTTCGTTTAAAGTTTATATTATGCTGATGTGATTTGAAATTAAAATTATTATTATTAGTAGGTATTATTATGTATAGAAAGCAATGTTCTTTTCAAACTTTCACAATTTTGAAGAACTTCTATTAAGATTTGCAGTGTTTCCCTTGGTATAATAGGCTAAGATATTCATGCAAAATTACTTTACTCACTTGCTTCTGAATAATGCTCCTCACTCCTACTGTAGTTACATCAAGATTTTCTGGTTGTGAGGTGGTAACTGAGCAAACTTCTCCCAACTGTTGTGATGATGCTGAAGTTGATGGTTTTCCTGTAACCACACAATTCACACTATCAAAAAAAAATTACATGATCAATTTTATAATGTTTCATACAGTTACTGTGCTATCATCAATAAACTGTTTTGGAGCCCATTCTGGGAATGATTGAAACAACTACCAATGAGATGTTTGCAGTTAAGATAATGTTATCTCTCCCTGTATAAATATTCACCTTATAACATTCCTAGTGTTAACTGGAGCTCAGTCTAACTTATTCCAAATATAAATGATTACCATTTTATGAGTTCAAATGAGTTTTAAATGGAAAATATTAACTATATACTTCGTTTATTGAAGACACAGCAAACCCAACAATGTTCACACATATTTTATGTGACTTGCTACATGCACTGTGTTGTCTGCCAATGCCAAACCAGGAGGGTGCAGCAGGAGATAACACTAAGGTGCATGTAGCCTCACCAGTCATGTAAAATATGCATGTATATGTTTGGATTTACTCTTCCTTCGATAAACAGACTATAGTTATGTAGTATCAATCTCTTGTACTAAACACTGGTGAAAGTGACTACTTATAACAGTTTCCAAAAAGCTGAGTATATGTAAGTGAAGTTGAGATATGTAAAATTGGGTGATACTAAAAATAAAGCAAACCAACATACCAAGAATTTCATCAGTCGTGTTGGATATTTGTTGATCAGGAATCTATGCCGTACTGAAACACTGTCCTAACAGCCTCTAACTGGACATTTGCGGTACCGAGACATGGTTTCTGAAAAACAACATTCAGTTACAAAAATATGTTCCAGTTAAATTACTCAAGGAAATAGAAATGTCGCTAAGCTCTAAGAAGACATGACAACATAAACAAAATCAAATTTAACTTTTGCAGTTGTAATAATGTAGTAATACTGTAATGACACAATATTAAAATTGATGATTTTAGCAACATATTTAGATAAGCAGGACCGTTGAGAAATAAGCTCGGGCTGCTATGCCAGAAAATTCTCAAGCCCCCATGCCGAAATATTCTCGGGCCGTTTTCTTGACATGAGCGAACCTAAGGACGTCTGTCCAGTTCAGTAAGCGAGCCTCGGGCTCCCCTCAGCGCCGGACCCCCCTTGCTGAGCCACGAGCTCCTCTCTTGTCGACGGCCCTGAAGTTTTGTACCCATCACCTTAGCCTATAAAACTAGATTATATCACTATACTTACATGCTGCAATAAACAAGCGCCGTAATCACTCAAATTTCACCACACATAAACAAAAATAAAAGTATTAAACGGTCCAAACACAAAGAGCTGTAATCACTCAAAATTAACCACACATATAAAGTATAAACAAAAATAAAAATATTAAACACAAGCCACGCCACGTCACTGACAGCTGTCAAATATCAGCTTCCAATTCCGACAAATGACAATAGCGATACCAGCGGCATCCAACAGATTGGTCTCCAACTAAAAACACTGTTCCAATTCATGCCATTAAGAGTGGATACCCCTCTTAAAGGCTCCAAATAAAAGGTCTGATTGACAGTGTGACCTGGGGGAACAAACTCGGAATAGACTACACCTTTGACATCAAAAAAATAAATCAGCGTTATTTTTTTTAAATAATTTATTTAAACACAATAATACAAAAGTATAACCAGTTATAACAATAATTCCCTAATCAGTGTTTGCAAACACTGGCCCCGAGAATAACAAGACAATAATTAATATCTATGAACTACAGGTACACTGCAATGTTGCTCATAATTTCAACAAATAAATTCATTAACATTTTTACAATCTTTCAATTCTCTAACAAAACTTCTATTGTTATTTGAATCTTTTATACAATGAGGTAAATTATTAAATTTCTTAATTGCGTCTGTGATCGGATTTTTTAAACCTATGTTAGTTCTTGTGGAAATTTGATAAACATTATTTAGTGATCTTGTTTGGTGATCATGCACGTTATGGTAGAACCTAATATTTATGTTACTTTTTAGTAGATTATTTATAATTTTATAAACAAGTTTACATTGTTCCACCTCCAATAACGCTCTTAGTTTGTTTAAATTTAAATTTGAATAAAGTGTATTAGAACTTGTAAGCCAATCAAAATTAAACAATATTTTCAGAACTTTATTTTGTAAAACTTGAGCTTTATTAAAATGAACTTCACCTTCGATGTTTGATTTGACTTGACGACATTTTTGGACGGAGTGACGATGGCGTCTTCCATTGACTTGAATGTTGCTTCGTTTCTGGGTCATAACCGTAGCACCAAGTCTCATCATCAGTGACGATCTTTGACAGAAAATTTGGATCAGATTTAAGCTGTTGTTTCAAAGCACGCCATGTTTCAACTCGGCGTTCTTTTTGATTGTCAGTCAGAGCCCGAGGAACAAACTTGACAGCAACCCTTTTCATTCCCAAATCTTCTGTTAAAATTCGCTGCACCGAACTCCAGGACAACTCACTACTTACCGATAGTTGATATATTGTCAGTCGACGATCTGCAAGCACAAGATGTCGAATTTTTTCAACATTTGATGGACGTCCAGAGCGAGGTTTGTCATCAATCGACATGTCGCCATTTTTAAATCGACCAAACCACTCGTACACCTGAGTTTTTCCCATAGCATAATCTTTGTAAGCTATTTTCAAAATTAAAACAGGTCCGATCCTGTATTTGCAGCGTCTGACAACAAATTAATCGCTCTTATAAAAATCAAGGTTTTAGTAGTGTTCTACTGGTTATAAAAATACAGTCAGTGCGCCAAGAAGAACGTAACAACTGATTGGCACCGTGAGTACCCTTTGGGCCACTTTCTGATAATAGTTCTGCGTTAAAACCCAATAACATCATAAACATACTGGTAAATTAATCAAACTCCTGGCCGCATACCTTTCCATTTGCGGACAGGACCGCATCTAGAAGAATGTCATATCGTCTTCACCCAGAGCTAACTAGAAACATTTAATATGATTACTCAAACTATGACAAGTAACCCTACCACATCACAAAACCCTACGCCCAAGTCATACTCAAAAGTTGTCTCCCAACACAGCGAAAAACATCCTAACAAAGAACAAGCAATAGTTTTCAGCACTATAGAGGGAGCTAAACTACAAGACTATCTTCTGAAATTAGGTCCACTGGTAGAGCCCAAAAACATTATATTTTGCTCAAGGATCTCGAACAACAGAATATGTGTTTACCTCTCAAGTAAAAGTTTGGTTGACCAGTTCATACAACAGCATGGAGAATTAACCGTAAATGGAGAAATAATAAAAGTTCGTCGCCTAGTTACCCCCTCTGATAGACTGGTAATATCGAACGTTTGTCCGACCATCCCGCATGCAGTTCTAAACGACGCGCTGCAAAAATTGCATTTAAAGCTTTTATCTCCAATTTCATTCCTCAGAATTGGAGCCACTCTAGCGGAGTACAGTCACATTTTGAGTTTTAGGAGGCAAGTTTACATAGCACCTTCAGAGAATACGGATATCCCAGAATCCATAGAGATAACGCACAACGATCTGACCTATCGTATATTTCTTACTTTAGACAGTCAAAAGTGCTACAAATGTAAACTTATTGGACATATTGCTTCACAGTGTCCATCGATCCAGATTTCGCAGACTTCCACAGAATCAGAGACCCTCAACGATGAACTGTCAAACCCATCCGAAAATCAAGTAGTATCAGATATAACTACAGAAGATTCCACCACAGCCCACATACATCTGCCCAAAGAAAATACCAAAGCAATTACGAACAAAAACAGCCACCAACATCCTCAAAACACTAACACAAACATCATTAGCCTGCACGGCGAAGGAACACCGAATAATGACGAATTAATAACTCCAAGCATATCCTCCAAAAGGAGCTTCTCAGAAATACTAACACCAACGGAAGACACAGGTGCACCTCAAAGCTATCAAGTAACGTTCACCAAACCGACTGCAGATAACATCAAGAAACACAAACCTGATCAGGAATTAACAATACCCATAAAAAGCAGCCTTGAACCTATCAAAAATTTGATAGAGACTCAGCAGACGGTACTGAACATCGATCAGCTCACCAGTCTGTTGGAAAATGTACATGGAGCTAAGGATGCCATTAATGTAGTAAACAACTATACCTCAGATTTCAGAGCTCTTATAGAAATGCTTCTCCTAATTTACCCCCATTTGACAAACCGCACAATAAAGAACAGATGCACAAGATTAAGGAAAAAATTGGAACACCACATCGATCAAACGGTAGGATCACTAAGCGACACGTCATCCATAGATTCGACGTTTTAATAACAATAAAATTCACGTCAATTCTACAATGGAATTTAAATGGATATCTTATCCATTTGACCATGCTTCGAAAGTTATTAACTGATCACAAACCAGATATCATTTGCCTACAGGAAACTCACTTTAGTGACAGTAAAACACACACGCCTAAGCAGTATATAGGTTATTTCAAAAATAGGAATACGGGAACAGCAAGTGGGGGAGTGGCTATATATACCAAGTCGTATATGCAATCTAGTCAAATCAATCTCGTTACTAATTTAGAAGCTGTAGCAGTTACCATAGAAGATGGAGAGAAGGTCAATATCTGCAATGTATATATCCCACCTAACTACTTTTTGGATAAGAAAGAACTGGAAGACTTGATACAACAAGTTCCTGCTCCTCGCATAATTGTTGGAGACTTTAACGCACATGATTATACGTGGGGATCCTTCAAACATGACCAACGAGGAAACATAGTAAGAGGCATCCTGGACTCAAGCCACCTAGCCTTGCTGAACGACGGTAACTGTACTAGATTCGACGCCGCATCAGGAAGACTCTCCGCAATCGATTTGAGCCTATGCACCCCCGGCCTGCTAACTCACCTACATTGGAGTACAGAAGATGACTTATATGGAAGCGATCATTTCCCAATACTTATATCAAACAATAAAAACAACAAAAACACTGAATCAACGCCTCCTCAAAAGTGGAGATTAAAGCAAGCTAATTGGCATTCATTCTCACACTATATAGATAGTAACCTTGACCGCAATATAAAATCTAATGTCAGCATAGACTCTATAGTGGAACAGCTCAACAAGACTATAACTGATGCCGCACAACATATCCTAGGTAAAACCACCCACGTAAAAATAGAAATCCTGTGCCTTGGTGGAACAACGAATGCGAATCTGCACTCAAAGAGAGTAAACAAGCGGTCAATAAGCACAAAAGACAAAAAAATCTCAATACATTAAGGAACCTTCGGAACAAACAGGCCAAATTAAGACTAATAACTAGAAAAAACCAAAAACAATCATGGCAGAATTACGTCAGTAGCATTACTTGTAACACACCAATGCCCAAAGTATGGAAAAAGGTGAGAAGCATTTCTGGAACTAAGACTTACTCACCAATAAGATGTCTAAAAGACGGTGAAAACACTGTCACTGACAGTCATCAAATATCAGAAATATTATCCAAGAAATATTACTCCAACTACAGCAATGGAAACTACTGTTCAGACTTTACGAACTACAAACTAAATGCAGAATCAGTGATAATCCCCATAGAAGACAACAGCGATCCAATCAACCTACCCATCACAGAATTAGAGTTCTTGGATGCACTCAACGACCTGAAAGATACTGCTGCAGGACCAGATGACATTCCGCCTATTTTCCTAAAGAAACTTCCCCCGTCTGCTCATAACCGCTTATTACACATATTCAACACCATCTGGACAACGAACGTTTTCCCCAAAATATGGGGACAAGCAATAACAGTTCCTATCCTGAAGTCTAATAAATCACCCCAGCTACCAGAATCGTACAGGCCTATATCACTAACCTGCTGTATGTGCAAGCTTCTTGAGAAAATAATTAACCGCAGGCTTATGTGGAGTCTCGAACATAAAAACCTATTAGCCTACAACAAGCTGGTTTCAGATCAAATAGATCTACTATAGATAATATAATAGACTTAGAAACCCACATCCATGAAGCATTCTCGGACAATCAACATTGTATGGCAATTTACTTTGATATCAACAAAGCGTTTGATACAGCCTGGAAATACAACATCATTTCTAAACTCCACAAATGGGGATACAATGGAAACATTCTATCCTTCATTTCCAACTTCCTCGACAACAGATGTTTCCAAGTACGAACAAATGGTGTACTGTCGGAACAAAAACAACAGATCAACGGAATACCTCAAGGCTCTATTATTAGTCCAACTCTATTTCTTATAGCACTTAACGACGTTCTAAGAGATATCGAACTACCTCTTCAGGCCCGTCTATACGCGGACGATATGATCGTATTTGTGAGGGGAAAGAACTTGACAACAAATGCATCGTTATTACAACATTACCTGAATAAGCTGGAATACTGGTCTAAGCAGACAGGATTTACCTTTTCAACAGAGAAAACAACTTGCATTATTTTCTCGAAGAAGCCTGTGCGTGACAAGCCCACTTTAAAGTTGTGCAATAAGATTCTAAAGTACACCAGCGACATCAAATTCTTGGGAATCACATTTGATAATCGACTTAATTGGAAGAAACATATAACAGATGTCATTCAGTCTTGTCAAGCAGGGATCAACATGCTAAAGTACCTATCAAATAGACACTGGGGGGCTGAAAGTAAGACACTGCTTACTATATATAGAGCACTTGTAAGATCCAAGATTGACTATGGCTGCATCGCGTACAACTCAGCAAGACCTTCAGTTCTCAAACCTTTAAACGTGCTTCACAACACTGCGCTGCGATTAATATTAGGAGCATACAGAACTACACCGGTAGACAGTCTGTACTGTGAATCGGGAGAAGCACCATTACACATAAGACGTCAGATAATGAGCCTCACATATTTTAATAAGAAAATCGCAAACATCAATACATCAGCCCATAAATATTTAGCCACTACAAGGTCCTATAGGAATAGCATAACAGGCACTCCTTTTCACAACAGAATCAGAGTCTACTTAAGAAGTCTCGACATCCAGAACGTACCGTCAACACTTACTACTGTCACCGATACCATCCCGCCTTGGATTATTTGTCAACCAGTTACCAATACAACACTCATCAAGTTCAACAAAACCGAAACACCCAATGAAGTTATATACCAGAATTTCTGTAATATCATAAGCGACTATCCAGGGTCAAAACAATTATACACTGATGCTTCAAAAACAAAGCAAAGCGTAGGAGCAGCAGTCATCACTCCCACATCCACAATCAAACTGAAGCTCCCAGCAGCAGCATCCATATTGACGGGTGAGCTTTACGCAATCAGAGAAGCTGTCCAGTTTATCAAAAACAGTCCTTATCAGAGGTGGGTAATAATTACAGACTCCTTAAATTCAATCGAGTCCATAAACAAACTGAATCCCAAAAATCCACTGGTCAACCTAATCAAGGAGGAAATACACCGGAACTTACTTTTAAACAAGGAGATAACTCTATTATGGGTTCCCTCACATAAATCCATATTGGGCAACGAAATGGCGGACAGGGGCGCAAGATCAGCGGCGGACGCCAAAATGCAGACAATACAAAAGATTCCTGTTTCCGATATCAAGACATACTTCCACAACATGGCAATAGAACAGTTTAACAATAAATGGAGAAGCGGATCAGCGAAGCTTCTTGAAGTGAAATCTCGTCTTGGTTCCTGGCAGATCAACACTACAAATAGAAGGCACCAGGTTCTGCTGACCCGTCTTCGTCTGGGACACACCAGGGCCACACATGGTTACCTCATATCGGGAGATCCCGTACCTCTTTGTACAATTTGTGAAGTGTCCCTCACCGTTAAGCACATTTTAGTGGAGTGTCCCATGCTAGAATACCAAAGAGTGTCCTCCAACTTAGGATCTAGCTTAATAGACATTATAGGCTCAGAATGTAACATAAACAATCTACTCTTATTTTTACAAACCACCAACTATGCTCATAAAATTTAGTGTAACACTGTGTACTGCTCCGCCGCTAATGACCATCAGGCCGATGCGGCAATTGTATTTTTTTTTATTGAATAAAAAAAAAATACAATTCAAAAAAAAAAAAAAAAAAAAAAAAAAAAATTAAAACAGTTTCAGCAGCATTTTTACCACTTAGAAAGCAAATTTTCACAGCTGCACGTTGCTCACTGAAGCTTGCCATCGTCAAAAACGAAACAAGCACGAAACAGCTCTAGGAAAAATATTGACTGCAGAGGAACAAAACAAGCCAGATCGACAACTCAGGTGTCACTGAACTAGTAATGAGTTGCGCTGTATGCTGTATGCCTCTAGGGGCAGGAATGTGTACTACACAAGCTCCGCCCACTGCAATGCTATTCAGTTTATTTTTGGGTACCTCCTCGTATATCACACATATCCCTTATACCAATCTTCTGAGTAATAAAGATTATGGTTAATTGGAATAACATCATAACACATCCTCTTGACGGACCAATTAAAAAGAAATTTTCTAATTTGTTAACTCAGACACAGGAAGATACCATCACGATTATTTGAATAACGTTGTATGAATTATGTAAAATTCGTCGTAGGAGTCTGTGCATCATCTGTCCTAACAAGGTTAATTGGGTGGTCAGTGGTCATGATAACATAATTGAACATACGTATTTCTTTTAAAACAAACAAATTTATTTACTATGAATAAACAACAGAACTGTACAACACATTGTTTCCTGCAAGATACAAGCTAGAATGAGAAATTCATATACGGTTTGTTCGTACAGTGGTCGGTGACTTGTCGGTGACAGTGTCTGGGATCTGGCCTTGTAAATTCTGTCTATATAGCGCAGTAGAATGAATGGAATTTGTGTGGCGGGATCTTGGACACGATCACTGACAGGTTGGCGACAGCTGTAGGTACGAACAGATCTATAAACGTATTTCGTATTTAGAAAAAATACAAAACTGTTATTTATCGGAAAACTTTCACGAACTTTAGTATATATTTTACAATCATTACAAAATATACAAGTTTTAA